TATTGAATTTTCACGTATTGATAACACAATCACAATATTGAACATTGTCATCGACATATTTCTCATGCTTCACTGAAGTACCTGAGATAAACAGTATCACAGATTTCTTACGACACTTAAACCCAATAGGGGACTTGAGAACCCCGAACTTTATTGAGTTTATCACTAAATATTTTTTCAGTGGGTTCCATCAACTGTCCCCCACAATGTTCCTGACTGTTCTTTTGCTGCTAAGACCGACCGGCAGTGAAACATTAAAATAGAAGCATGGCCAAATTTGAAAAAGAAAACTGAATAGATTGACGCACAAGGTCAACCTGGCACCTGAATTAGTCTCAAAAACTTACCAATGGCAAAGAAAGCGGGTTTGATTGTGTATATTTTCGGTGTTAGTTCTTCGGAAAACTGATTGAGGTAAGCGAAAGAAACAGACAGTGGAATTCACCACTCATCGTCACAGACACACACACACATTATCCCGCCCTTGAGATGCAAAAAAATGGATAATATCAAATTTAACAAAATGGAGTGGCTGCTTTCGTCAAAGCATACCCACCATCGACGATTCACTCCCAGTGGCACAGGAATTGCCTGAATTTCTAACATCTAAATGCTCGGGCGACTTCCGTGGGGTTCGGTTCTGTATAAAACGTGAAGCCACCTTGGTTGCCGAAACAAAAGCACGCACACGCACACAAATACACACACACATCACTGAATTGAATGAATTCATCTTTTTTTAAAATCGGGAAAGAGAAACTAAGGCAATCAGTGGACAAAAGCGATTTTCTTTTCAAATCCGAATGTGCTTTCTATTCCAAATCATCTATCATACTTCGTTCCAACTGTCACTGGGTTTGAAAAGCAAAATAATCTCCTTTGACCTTTTTTATGAATGCTTTCCCGGGTGGTGGGGGGTGCAGATTCAATTTTTTTATGGAACTCATGTTCTGACACCAATACATATCATGGCGTACTGTAAGAACAGTTTTTAAAATGATACATTAACCTAAAACACAATCCGAAATAATTGTCCTTGAATTCAAATGCAATCCAAAACATTTGATCAAAGTTTAAGTGTATTCTGCATTACGAGACGGAAAACACATGACAATCTGTAGATTGAGGAATCATGCTTGTTTTCAGTTTAGTAAACATTTTTTGGCACTTGAGGGAGTCTTGTATGTACTGACCTCACTACATCCAAAGGGTTATCTCCCTCATGAGTGAAATAAAGTGGTACAAACGCTTCGATTATGGTAGGGAATGCACTTCTTTTTTGCACGACAATTGCCAATGGTCGTAATGACACCGTACCCGCAGCGTATCGATTGAGTTCGAGTTGAATTAGATTGATGCAATACTGCAGTGCACCAAACGCCTTTAGTGCACATCCTTTTCTCCTCCAGAACTTGAAATTTGATAGCCAGATATTTTGTCGATTTATTAGGCTCGTACAGGGAGTTGGATCATAATCTGGCTATATCGATTTTATTCCTGATAATATACCTGTGGCGATCAACTGATGGTAGCCACCACTTAGTGATCTGATGTGAGGAACCTCGTTAGGGAGAACTAAAACGTAGCCCTCAAATATGCTTACAATAACAAATTATTGATTCATTTGAATTTGAAATATTCCCCATTCATTGGGGATAATAAACTACAATTCTTGATTTACACCAGAGTATGTTCTTTTTGTACGGGCTGGCCTCTCCAGTAAATCGCAAACATGGTCAATATGGGTCTCACGAATCGTTGCGGATTGGGTAGTGTTGAACGCAGCACACACGACGGTCGAAGAGATATTGAAATCGCTAATAAAACCCCACCCACCCCCGTATCCCGTTCCGCGGAATGTCACCAATCGAATCATAACTAGAGCAGGTTAGTGAGTTGGTTCGTTACTTGCACGAAACCTACAAAGTTGTGTTACACCGTGTCGCGTGAAGTTACACTCTGAGGCAGTTGGATCAGCTACTCAGTTTATAAGATGAATTGAAGACATCCAATGAGCTGCCGGACTATAGATTCCCGGTTAAGACTGTGAATTAGCCTCACTTCAGGTGCGGTTTGCGTACCAAGTATTCTCATGCTTTACTCTTACTCGCGACTGTGCTTTCTTACCCCATGACTAAATTATGAAGAGAAGGAAACTCTTCCGAGATGATTCAGTGAGGCAGAAAATTATCTGGACAGTAATTATACAGCTGTCAGTTGTTACAAAATATTCCCATTGATGGCACTGAAAAAACACTCGGTTCCTCCCTCAAGAACATGGCTAAGAGCACTATAGGGGAATTCACTGGGCATAGATCATCTTATATTTCAAAAGCAAATTTGTCGTGTATATAGCAAATGAAGCGTGAACTTAAAAACTAGGAAGCACTGGACAGCTGTTTCGACCCGGTTGGGTCTCATCGGCAGTGCAAATCCAACGACCCAACTGGGGATTGAACCCGGGACTTCACAGGCAGAACGCAAAACGTACAGCGTGTTTAGAACAAATTGGTTTAACGGGACCATCGTGGTCAATCAACAAGTCATACATACCTCTGTTTCAAACACACGCGGTGAGCACATCGGACGCGAGAGCTGTAGTGCAATTTCAATTGAAACGATTCAGTCTCTCGATGCTTTTCATGACACGTGTGAAAAAGACAGAACCATGTGAGGAAGATTACTTAAACAATCGTTAATACAGTTGTTCTGAATGTCCCACAGTCACTCGAGTGTTGATTTGCATTCACTTGTATCGGGTGTCAAACACGTTTTCCACGATCAGTTGGTAAACTTTCATGACCAAAACAGTTTAAGGAGCTGACAATCACTCTCTAAAAATAACTAAGATGTGGGTTTTGGGCCGTACATTTCATTAAGGGAGCAGAACTCACGCTGATGAAGCATCCTCGCCCCGAACACATTCGGCTGTCCGGCAAGAAACGACCGTTCAAAGAAATTCGAACACGATAACGACCAAGTGGACCAGCACTGAAATCGATTTGTAATAAACGGAAGGAGGTTGATTGTAACACAAAATTTAAAATGTGTTATGAACAAATAAATAAATCCTTTGCTTAAACGCATGGGTAGCAAAAACGAAAACAGGATAGTGATAGACTGCCGGTGTTTGATTATCGCTGTCTACAAAGCACTGCACAAGTCTTATGGAGAAATCGGGGACAAGCGACGCTGAGGTCAGACGGAGAGTTTTAGGTAACCGGGATCGCCCAATGGAAGAAGTGATCGGTCTTCATGGACCACGTTGGTTGTGGCAAGTGTTCTGTATGTCATCCAGTAACTTGTCACGACTTTGCATTATTTTCCGAGTCTTCAAAGTCAGAAGTGTTGTGAAACTTTAAAATGCGATTGAAATGTTTGTGATAACCAACACTGAGCACTGGACAGCTGTTTCGTCCTGACATGGGGACACAAAAGTACGCACTGCTGACAAGTCCCAAACGGGATGAAACAGCTATTCAGTGTTCTTTGTTGGTCATCACAAACATTTCCATCGCATTTAAATGCATACAAACAATGGGGAATTAACGATCTCCCAAGGAGTGAAACCCACAACCAACATCATCAAAAGTGCCTGGTGCGTGTAAAAACTGAGTGGGCTGATCCAACCATTCTCCATCTAAAATGTTATGAAACGTGCTCACATAGGTCGCCTAAGGCTTCCTAAATGGGGACCTAAGGCCAGCTTAAATAATGATTCGAGACACTGAATGATAAGACTAAGCGTTGTGGGCAGTGTCGCTTGCGTGTCTATCTACTTAATGCCAGTACAACCTTGGTCTTCACTTACTTCTATGCTGACATTGATTTGAATAATCCAACCTTCCCTTTAATCCTTCATACGAATTGATTGCCAAAAGTCAGTAACAAAAACCGTCGTACGGAATTCCTTCAATAATGGTTGAAAAAATTGTAAATTGAACTTCTAAGTCATTAAACAGCATGAGTGTAACATCTGTCCAGTTCCGTTCAAACTTTTACCAGAAAAGCATTCATTTACTAAAGTCGGATACTTTCAATCGGCTCTTTTAATATGCCTATATTTATATTGAAAACGGTTCCACTCTTGCTTAAAAATCAAAAATCAACCACGTGATATGCGTAAACATTACAACTGATTGGTCCCACGTTTATCATTCATATTTAAACAGGCGTTTCCGTTATTTGAACTTTTTCAACGTTATGAATAGAATCTACTGAAAAATGAACGAATTGTTTGTTATATTAAGAATATATCATTTTAATTACTCATTATGATAGCCCCTCAATTGGGTGAAAATACTACACAAAAATAAATTGGAATAAGGATTACGATTATAGCACAAGAGTGACCACTAACTTCAATCCGTGAGTTAACAAAACCCGTGTTCTATCCACGGGGATCTGAGCCACAACAAACGTCACGTCTCGAAGGCAAACGTATTACCACGTTACACAGGCGGTCTTTGAAGGAGCGCTGTTCTTTTGGATGCACTTGTGGGTAGTTCTCACCGAATGGGTCAATCGAATACGAACTATCAAGCTAAGCTTCCAGACACTGCCAGGTGCCACCGACGGTTACAAATAAGGATCTAGCAGATTTATGTGGCTTCTATCTATATTCATTCAGTGGTGAAGGAAAAGTTCATTCTCTGAGAAAAAATCACCTTGAGAAACGATTTGAAATACTTGTTCAGTCCCACTGTGGTTTAGTTAACACAAGCTTGAACTGGCACCTGGATCCAGATTCGTTCCACGATGGTAATTCACTAACCAACATGAGACAACAACTCGGCATACAATTTTCTGTTGTTCGTTTCCGGTGAACTTGATTGATTTTTCTGATAAAAATATTCTTTTGCAGCTATTCCCTGAGTTTACTAGCTTCCTCTGACAATAAATTCCTCGTTGGTGGAATGGCTTCATTATAAATAACAATATATAACCTTATTGAATTGGGTTCTGGGCGAATATTCTTCAATTCAACGACTGAAACTTACGGCGTTTCGAAAATCAGTAAATCTGGTCTCTGTTCGATCACAGGGGCTTCGATCGTTTGAGATTCGTGTTCCAGATAGACCCGATTTCCACCAATCGGCTTGCCACCCTCCAGCATAAAGGCTGTCTTTTCAAAGCCTATTTCACGAATAGAGAGTTTAGAGTAGGGATAAAAAAATATTCATAATAGTTGCGAGTTTTCATTTTTGGCGGATTGTCCCATTTTATGTGAACTTCCAAAAACCTGCTGTCATTTCCGATGAGAAAGAGGATAGTACCAATTCACGTGCTTCAATTTGCGGCCAGTTTTGAGCTAATCTGTTTACCATTCATGTTGGTTGACCTTGAATTTCAGGCTTCGTATTTACTCAAAACCCTCATTTGTTCCAGTTAACCATAGATGGATTGGAAAACTGGTAGGTTCACCTCACACTTGCATTGTAGTTTTAAGCGAGTATACATCCCATTGACTGAAGTCCATCACGCACTTTTCCGGGTATATTTTCCCGGATGAAATGACATGGTTTATAATTTCATATACAATTAGACCCATTTCAGACAAACCGAAGTTTATCTGCAAAAGAAAAAATTTCAGTGATTTTCAGGTAAACCAACAATGTGATAATTCTATGATTGAACGAACCGGTGGCGCAAATCTCAGCTTCTGTTCAACACATCCCAAATGTCAGTAAGAGGTTGAAGAGAACCATTTATAGTACGACGACGAATCTCATTTTAATAACTGCTGAACCAAAATTCCTGAGTAAACCAGTACCGTTAAATCATGTTCTTCCCATTGTCGGTTTGATGTTTTCTTTCGGTTAATGTGAACTTTGATCAAATTTATATGCAATGGAAATGAAAATGCATGAACTTGCAGGGAATTGACGATCTCCCAAGGAGTGAAACCCACACCCAAGACCATCAAGAATGCCTGGTACCTCCTAACAATCTGATGGGCTAATCCAAGCTTGTTACCGTAAAATTTGATCAACTTTGCTCGATAATTCTCACACTTGGCCAGTGTGTTGTTCTTCCATCGAACGGTACCGCAAGTCGGTGCATTTCGTCGATCAAACTATAAACGATTACCAATCCCTATGAAAGGAGTTTGTCCATTCCATACAGATAAACAATTCCTTCGGGAATAATTTGATGTTTAGAGATACCACTGGACAAATGTGCGCATTCAGCGTGGGACAAAGCGGTCGTATTTCACACACATATGGAATGTGGTTCGGCGAAACGCCGCCTCCTGAGCTAGCTGGTTCACAATCGCTTGAATTCCGTGTGCAACTGATCTGGCGCGTCTCATTTGAGATCGTATAGAATCAATCAGAAAGGGATGATGAATTCTTCATGCTAAATAAGCTGATAGATGTACAGCAGTATCGTACCAGAGTGTGACAGGTGAAGCCAGCTCGGAATAGTCTAGTGGCTACATTTGAGACGTACAACTCTGCACTGTCGAGGTCCAACTGACACATGTTTGGTGGATAGGCACTGCTAACTATATCTCTCAGTCAGCCTCGTTAGATAGGAATCCAGTGAGTGCTTCTCGGGCTCAAATCTGATGCACTAAAATGTTCCTACCAAATAATGCCGTCGGTTCACCCAAAAGTTAACAAATAACCGTAGGGCTACGGCTATATTATGGCTAGCCATTCTAGTTGTTGTAATAGATTTGAAGGAGGGGATTCTCTGGGCCATGAGTTAACTCCGAGTGAATTCATGGAAGATTCCCGTAAGAATATCAAAAGACAAACAATATAGCGAACAAGCTTGGTTTTGTAACTTCGTCTTCAGGCATTCACAGTTGTGCGTGTTTATATCTAATGGACCAATCACATTTATTTCTACATTAGATATAAACACGCACAACTGTGAATGCCTGAAGATGAAGTTGCGAAACCAAGGTTGTTTGCTAAATTGTTTGTCCAAGCGAGTTCGTTTTTGATTCCAGTGACGCTAATCCGGTCGGGAGAACGAAGGTGGAGCGGGGGAGTTGCGTTGAGAGAACAAATCATGACTGTCGCGGATGGTCTTCCGGTGAGTTAAACAAAACGCCACGGTTAGGATTGAAAACCATGCCGATAAGAGCGTTAAAAGAAGACAATTGCGTGCGGAACCTATCATTTAGTCTTTACTAGAACGGCTGAATTTTCCCCGTGCTAGTGGCTGGCACAAGCATCCAGACGTGACTTACCACATCCGATCACTTTCACCGAACTTGATCCGCCCATACCAACCGATGTGGTCCCGATCCGGTTCACCACTGGACATTGTCCTTCCCATTCGGCGTGCTCCGTATTGATCACACCTGCAACGGAGCAAATACATCGATCGAGTTGCGTCAAATATAAATTAGATTGGGTAATAATATTTAGTCCGGGACTTAACTTTAGTTGACTCCTTTTATCTTTTTCGATAACTAGTTGTAAACTCAAAGTTTAGAGAAGTGGAAGCAGTTAATCGGTGGATGTCATATGACGCAAAGAAAGGGAATGGGTGAGCTGCTGTTATGTTCCCGGATCGACCAGAGCGAGAGGAAGAACAAATACCGTCCGATCGTCGGATCTGTGTATGTACGAATGAATGCGTCCTCATTAAACCACATGATAAGAGCGATAATCATGACATCATGAAAGGTCAAGGTCAATGACACTGTCTGTTCGCCTGCTGGCCATTGGCACCCGTAACAGCTGCATTGGTGAGATTCAAACTGTCAACCTCACGAGCGACGAGATAGTGCCCGAAAGCATTTGACCTGATTAATTACTGGCATGAAAACTCATCACACATAAACATATGGATAATGCGCAATGAGTCCCACGAGCACAAAATATCCGGAGTCGGTTCCAATAAACATTGGCAGAAATAGAAAAAGATGTTGGTTCCATCCGATGACACCAAACAAGGATTGGGCTGTTGTTAACTTAAAATAAGCTATTTTCTGAATTCAATACGGTTGCATAATTTACACGAGGAACTAATAGGAAAAACCTCAAAACTCGCAGTTCGTTTCATCATGTGCTTCTCCAGGATGAGCAGACCACCCATCGGTCTAGTTCCTTTCACTCACCACATCCTTCGGGAGGGGGGAGACGAATGGCATGAGGTGTTGTTTCCAAAGTGGTAAGGACTAACCCCGGCCTATTGATTGTAACCAGTAACCATTCTTCCGGGTGTTACATAAGGCCTGAAACACAATGGGTGTTGCATCGAACCCGGACAACAGCGAAGCCGCTAACCACTAAAGTGAGGTGTCTTCGATAAGGTTCGAAACCTGAACCTTCGGGCCTAAATCACACCAACCACTGCGAACGAACTCATTTCGTGGAAGTCGCATTTTCTAAAAGAATCGAATATTTTTACCATTATAATTAATCGGATATAGTTATTGATTATGTATATTTTATTCAGTTGTGTACTCTCACCTAGTAATCTATACACCTCCTGATATTTCCAATTTTGTTTTTCGTTCTTACAATACCTATTAGATGATTATCTTGAGTTTATCTCAAATGTGAAGTCCAGTGCCGTTTAGGTTATTTTTCTAACCAAAATGAGGACAAAATGAAGCAGTGACTGTCTGGGATACTATTTACAAACAGAGATAGCTTTCTTAAGTGTCCCAGTCTTCTTAAGCTAAGTGCTGCACTGAAAAGCAATTTGTATGAACTTCATATTGTGGATTGATTCAACAGCATGCTTTGATAAGTATTGGTGAATATGTGATTTCAAAGGAGAAGGGCCTCTAGTTTGGCAATCTTTCCCGTCCATTAAGGAATATTTCAGTTTTTTCATCCGAATCGTCGACCTAACTCTTATTTATGACACCGACATACCTCCACAAACCTATCCAGGCAAACCGTTCGTCAGACGAGAAGCTTAATTGGATTGAGGATGACCAAGTTTTGAGATATTTCATTCAGTAAAGCATGTTGCGATAGCTGTTCCATTGCCTGGTTTTCACGAAAGTTTGCCCAACTAACAAGGATGCATGAATCCATGGGTTACATTCACGTACACTGACTGAATAATGAATTCCTACGGAATCACCGAAAACCATGCACCAGCATTATGTTTCCTTGTGATCTGCACTGGGCCGGGCATAACGCGTTTCTTCGAAGGAGAAGAATCAGCTGGTACCCGTGGGGATGTAACAGCAACAAGTCCCTATGAAATTTTGTGCTGTTTGGGAAGAAGGCTTATTATCGATAGGACGTCAACTGTTATAAAGGTAAGCATAATGAGTTGATTCAATGATCTAAGGTACTTTCAGTGATAATATTTAACAGTTGTTAGCCTATTCAGTGTTGCATCTGAACACATTGCTCCTTGTCCGCCTCGCCTATCATTCTAGGAGAGAGGGACAAATTTACGTTCTTCCCTCTGAGGAATTTAACTGTCGATCGATCAAGTGAGCATACGTCGCTTGGCGCGTGTTGACAAGAACGACGTGGCCGTACGAAACTTTCTGGATTTATTGGGTTCACTAGGCGGTTTGCTATAATTTAACTCAATATGAGAATGTTTACCATGAGTCATCAGTCTACATTTTGTATTTGAAGCTTTCTTTTCATTCTAATTCCATTCATTGAACATAGAGCTTTCAAGAAGAGGAAGATGGCCAATTAAAGGACTGTCATACAGAACAAAATGCGGACAGTCAGGGGTGATGGTGGCGTCCTCCGAGGTGACTAATACTCGACTGCCACCACCAGATTGTGTAATAATTTGTGGATTATGTGAGCTACTACATCCCCGGGGTAGGAAAGCTATTCAGCACCGAGGTCAAATAACCGGGTAAGGTTCAAATTGCGAAACTCGTGGCTTGATACATTCTACCGATAAATGAGTAAATTATGTAATTTCAATGAATCCGTAAGACGAATTCTTCAGTTAGCTCATCAGTGATACCAGCTTCACATGTATCTATCCAGGAGCACTAAGTGGATGTTTGTATATTCAAATATACAATAACCGTGATGGCTGATCTGAAAACTAACTTATTGCAATCATTTTTATAAAATCAAGAGATTCAGCCCAGGGATATCACAGAGTTGGAAAACTCTGCGGATAACCACCTACTGAACATACAAGTATCTATCAATACGATTGGTCCGTATCAATCGCTACCAGTTGCACCAGTTTGTTGTCAGTTATCTACACCAATTCTTTAAATCCCATTTACCTCGTAGTTACTTATAAGTAGTGGCGTGTAATAATTCATAATGGTTTTTATGGATCATCTTTCCGGTTTCACCTCCACCTACAAGCTTCATTTCGTCCAGAAAGCCGTGCATTGCTTGCTGATGAGCTATAAGGAGAGTGAGACTCCAGTCACCAGGATATAGTTACTTGGGTGAACCGAGCATTGTGGTTGAAGGTGATTTGTGAAGAATAATCAATCCAAATCGATTCTCCAAATGACAAAGTCAGTATCCATCTGGCATTGCTAGTGTTGATCAAGAGACTGAAGTGTTAAGCTCAACATCTTAAGTATAAAATCATGCATCCTGTTGGCTAGCCCAAATGCTTGCATCAGCGAGCGCCTAATGTCTTCCCGGATGAGAATAAACCGTTTCAAATTTAGCATACAGGTTTTGTCAAACACATTCCGATTTAATCCAACTTGACCGTTCAAGAGAAACGTCCGCGAAAGATTCTCGAATAGCGTCTCAGCGAGTAGATATGTCCGACTGAAGTTATCAAGATAATCATTGATATGGTTAAACTTAACAATAGGTTCAATTCGAAGAAATGGAAGCAGGTTGAGTGTGGTTCTTACTGTTGCTAGACCTTTCTTGTGTTCAAAATAAATATACCCTAAAATGAGAAACTGAGGATTGAGAACACACTTTCTTAAACGAGCAATTTTTCGCATTGATTCATATTCTAGCCTGTACAGATCATCTGAGACAAAGAAATGTTACATGGGGATAAATATTCAATCATTCTAAAGTCACGGTGATTTGTTGGAAGCGAGAGGGATGTGGGTTGAATAGTGCGACGTGTTTCATTCCAACCACTAATGGAGCAGGAATATAATTCACAATCGTCGCAGGATTAAAGGTAAGGAGTAAACTAACTTACAACGACTGTGATGTGCCCTGATCAGAGTCGGAGGAGGGCAAAATAATAGCCAGACTCATAAACCAACTGGTTTAAATTATTTGACCTGGACTCCATGTAGCATTTTGTATTACAGAGGGAATTGCCATGCAATGATGAGGTGCTTTTTCTCTCTTAGTAAACATTATTTTCTTTAGATTCGTTGTTGTTTTCCTTGTTGTTGTTGTTTCTTTGTTCTTTTATTTTCACCATACTGAAGTTTTGGGAACTGGATTTATCTAGAAATGCATGAGATGATGGTTGCAAGTCGGTACACTTATCTTTGAGGAAGGGGTGACCCATCAAACAGTATCAGATCGGATCCGGTTTTGTACAACATATTACATTTTCTTGTACTTTCTCAATATCATTTTCCATCCGACCAATCCCTAGTCTTTAGGGGTTGATGGATCAGAACATATCCCCGTTCCATGCTCACTTTTGGAAGTCTTTCTAAACGTTACATATCTTTGGTGGTACCTGCGATTCCTTGTGAATCGTATGTTAAACAGCAGTAAACGGGGGCCCTTAGACTCGATAGCTAGATTGAATAAACAATCCAAAGGAACGGAAAGCTTAGTGAACAGAATGCAATAATCATGGCGCTAACATAGAGTGAAATAGATCTTCCAATTTCGATCCACAAGGGGGCTAATGAGAGATTGACTCATTGCAGTAGCCGCAAGAAACTGATTTGACGATAATAGGATTCGAATATGACACTATAAAATGATAACCGGTGATCACTTGAACACTTTTGCCCGGTTGACCGATTGCTAATTGAAAACAACATTGGATCCCGTTGTGTACGAATTGTCCAAGCCTCTCGTCGATCTCCCACCTCCCCTTCTCTCCTCCCCCTATAAGGAACGGTTTATTTGATGTGTAGATTGTGTTTTTGATCCAAAAGCACAGCAGTTTCGGTCGCAATAAAAGTTTGGTTGGAACGTAATCTAAATCGAATAGTCAAATTGAAATTTGTTCAGCTGATAAGATGTATTTTCAAATGAAGTGATTCACATCCTTGCAATTCAGCTTTGTGCACACGTAATACGGCGAATAATCGCCGGCTCTTTTGCTCTGTCTGAGGACGCGCTCTAGACATGATACTGTCCTTGTACCGACAAACTGAGACCATTTCATGAAAAAAGTTTCTGTTTCAGCACGCGTTTTATGGTCTACAAACAGATGCGAGCTCCCTTTCATACAGATAAAAACAGTGTGTGATGCTTGTTTGACGCTGTCTCGTCCCGTTTTGCTTCGTTTTCCTTTCGTTGTATCAAAACAACTGAATTGCTTTTGCCTCATTCCCGATTGTTTTCGCTTGTCTACGATTGGAACTATTCATCGGCTCAATATGACAAGTTGCCACTAGCGAACCATTTGAAATTCCTTTCCTGATGTTCCTGTGGCACAGTAAAAGTGATCGATTAATGTTATTGTCTAGACAAAACACTTCAACTGTCTGCAGTTGCAATTCAACTTTCACACTTGAGGTCAACTGATCCGCCGGAAAGTCACTTCTTCGCGATAATTCTCGTATTTTTATGTATTGCATTCCATCAGTCCATCCGTTAGGTACATGAGCCAGCAATGAAACATTGGTTAGAAAGTTTCAAATGTTTGCCATATGCTGATTCCGCGCGTACTTCCGATTAAGAACAAAGCGTTACACACGTCCGGTATTAATCAGTCAATTAAAATTGTGATCGCCTATTCGATAGCTGAAACACGCGCGCGCGCGCACCGATTGTTGAGTCAACTACTTCGATTCACTTGAAACCGTATCATGCAAAATCCCTTCAGTTAGATCCAGGGAAACCAATTTTTTTCAATCCTCATTGTCTCTCGTTTCCAGTGATATTTCCATCCATTTAATGGCACAACAGTTTACCGGCAAACTGATTGGTGTTGTTCCATACATTGGTCTATTACAATAATTGTTAAAGTTCACCGAACATGATCGAATTTTCAATTCTATGGTCACTTGAGATGAATACAGTTCCCCTCTCTGTAAGACAGATCTCTATCGGGTTCTAGGTTTGTTCGGAGAATTGGCCTCCCATGGTGATTCTCCTAACAATTGTGTGACAACCATGGTTTGCCAACTGTCAATCAGTGTGTTATTCGCTCTCGTATAAATCAGCGAATGCAGTTACACCGCCCTCATCCAAGATAGTCGGACCATTTTTCGCTTATCTCTCCTTGCCCAACCCATGTTTGGTTAACTTTGAAAGGTTCCCCATTGACACGAAAACAATGATTTTTGTATACTCACATTCTTAGAAAATGCTTAGATAGAAAAGATCGAATAGTAAATTGGAAAGCATAAAAAAGAAATAATTGGATCAATAATTTTCGATAATGATTCCATTGGAAAACCAACCAAACAGGTTGGTAATTGAGGCACCCACTTCCGAATCGGGTTCGTGGAAGCTGAAATCGAACGCAAGATCTGAGGGCTCTGCCAAATGAATGGAGATTTATACAGCTCCATCACACACACTTTATATCTTACGTGAATTGCCTGTTTAGTTTTATATAAATACTGTAGAGTGATGACTCTACACCACATTTAGTCATTTTATGAAATAGTGTCCGATAACATCCTTATGTTGTTATGGTTATCACAAAGTCCAGAAAGGCTCGGTAAACAGGAAATGAAAACCACATCGAGATCATGATCGGGAAAAATCACAAAGATTTTATCCAGTGGATCATTTTACCAGTGGACCTGACTTAAGGATGGCTGTCTGACAATGAATTGACGTTTCTTTTAAGAGTGGTTTCAGTAAGCTGATTACTGTGTTTAACATGACGAAAAGAACTTTTGAAGGGCAAATGAATTTCATGCATGTAAGGTGTGATTGGTTAGGTCATTTGAAGTGAAAACTGGCTGTAACGTTTATCAGATAAGAGACAATCGCTTCTCACCCAAAAACGTCAATAGTAGGGAATAAAACTTATCACAACGAACTTGTTTTAAAACAATGCTTACTCCCTAGAAAAATGATTTCTGATGAGAGGAAGCCTTGGACTATTTTATGTGGAACAAAGTGTCAGATTTCGCCTACAATGCGATTTAGGAGTGAGGTGGGAATAGCACTTTTGGTACCCAACGCCATGACCCCGTGAACTGAAGACGCAGAGAGTAAAACTGTTGCTCAGTGTAATTAACCTCGACAGACCGCGCTAAGGAAATTTTGTACCCCAGTTGCACGTTTGAAGATTTCACACAACGGTATTGAAACAGCCATTTGGCATTTCCAAAGATTTACATTACTGCCCGCCGATGAATGGTTCTTTGAGCTTTTCGGTGACAATTTCAGCCGAACACTTTATTTCATCTATTTGGCTCAACTCATCATCGTGTGAATAAATACAGACCAGTACAGTTCGATGCAGTAGTCTGCTCCGATATTCGATTGATGTCCGACTGCGTCAGACAATGTGGAAGTGGTGCAATTTTCCAATGTGTGACAATTGCCAATCCCATATCGGCCTTGTTGTACTTGTGTGTGGCGAAGTCACGTGGCCTAGACCTTTCCGAGGATCAGTCCTGTGACGCAGACAGTCAAAGATTATTGATCAACACTGAATACATTGTGTACACACTATGTATGATGTGTGGTCGGGAACGTATGAAAAAGCATCACTGCCTCTGATGCACACTTGTACTGCTCAGCTGATGAATGATTAGAGTCAAACTTCAGTTCGGCTGCACCAACTCAACTTCTGAAGAGCCAAATGGAGATGTCAAATCGAAGTGAAAACCTGCTTTATTTAAACATGTATTGACAAACGACGGCACATAAACTAAGAGATTGGTAAATCAATTTTGATTCCCCCATTCAGTTAACTTTTGTCGGGACCATATATACCAACTGGAATTGAGCAACTCTACCTAT